GAATGTGTATTACTTTCACATTTAAAAAAGGTATTTGTAGTCAGTAAGGGAAAAAAAATAAAAAGAAGGAAGAAATCTAAGGAAATGAGGTGTGAAGTTTTATAAAAGTACTTCTTAACATTTATGGAATCATAGGAGGACATTATGCTGAGTGAAATAAATCAATCACAGAAGGACACATTATAATAGTTCATTAATGTAAAATGTCAAGGAAAGGTTAATATATGGACGGAAACTTTCTTTATTGGTTACCATGGATGGGAGGGGGTTGCTATGAGTGGGGTCCAACTTGACGGCACATAACAACAACAACAACAAATGGGTGGGAGGGAAGGGGAGGAAGCACTGTAAAAAATAAAGAAATATATTCTCAGATGAAAGAAAGCTAAAATAATTTGTTGTCAGAAAACTTATTATAAAAAATATCTGAAGAAAGTTCTTCAGGAAGAAAGAAGTATATAATTGTAGGAAACTTGAAACACCAGGAATGAAGAAAGAACAATGGGAAAGGTAAAGAAATGGGTGAACAGACAATAGACTATTCTTTTCTTCTTGAGATTTTAATATCATGATTGACAGCTCCCAAATGAAACAAACTCACATCAAAGTGATTTCAATTCATAGGGACCCCCACTGGCTTTCCAAGGCTGCAAATCTTTATGGAAGCAGACCGCCTCATCTTTCTTCCATGGAGTGGCTGATTGGTTCACACCAGTGACTTTCTGGTTAGCAGCTAAGTGTCTTAAAGCAAAACTTATAATAGTTATGTCGTGGATTAAATTGTATCCCAAAAAATTGTGTCAACAATTTTGTCATCTTGGCTAGACCTTGATTCTTAGTGGTTCGCCAATTACATAATGATGTAATCTGGCAGTTATATAATAATGTAATCATCCTCCATGATGCAATCTGATGTGATCAGCCAGTCAGCTATAAGGGGATTAGGGCAGGATATAACACCCTTACTTGGGTAAGCCTTGGTCCTACATAAAGGAAGTTTCCTTGAGGTATAGACTGCATTACTTTTTTTGTCTTACAAGAGATAAAAGGAGAGAGAAGTGAGCAAAAAATAGGGACTTTTACCACCAAGAAAGAAGAGCTGGGAGCAGAGTGCATCCTTTGTTTCCAGGGTCCCTGTGCTAAGAAACTCTTAAACCCTTCGACCCTGTTAGACCCTCTTACAGTAAGAGTGATGTCAAGGACCTTCCCCCAGTGAGAGAGAAAGACTTCCCCCTGGAGTTGGCACCCTGAATTTGGACTTCTAACCTCCTAGACTGTGAGGGAATACATTTCTGTTTGTTAAAGCCATCCACGGTGGTGTTTCTGTCACAGCAGCACCAGAGAACTAAGACAGTGTCTGATGTGATTTTCAGTGTATGTAGATAAATCTAAGACAGTTACAAAGGAGGGACTCTAAGAGGACCTAAACGATTGTAAGTATCATTATTCCATGTTAAGTGGTAAAACTGTGACACCAGCAAAATTCAATAAGCTGCATATGTATATTGTAATCTCTTAACCATCAAAAAAGCTATATGAAGAGATATAATCTAAAATGCTAAAGGTAAATCAAAATGGAATCCTTAAGAAAAAAATGTTCAAGTAACCCACAGGAAGTCAGGAAAGGACTAACAGAGAAAAACAAATGATAATAATAGAATGGGAGCCTTAAATACTACTACATTGATATTATATTAAACATAAATGGTCTGAATATAGCAATTAGAAGACAGAGATCAGCATAATCAATTTAAAAAGATAATCCAACCATATACTGTCTACAGGAAACTCATTTGAATATAATGGAAATTAGATCAAAATTAAAAGGATGAAAAAGCACATACCATGCAAATTCTAATCAAAGCAAAGGTGGCATGGCTAGATTTTTAGTGGCTCTATCAATATCAGTTCAAGTAGTATTCAGAGGAAAGAAAATCACAAAGAACAGAGGGTACATTACACAATGATATAAGGGCCAATTCAGCAAGAAGATGTAACAATCTTAAATGTGGATTCCTCGGAGAACAGAGCTGTCAACTACCTGAAGGAAAAACAGACAACTAACAGGAGAAATACAAAAATCCACAAATATAGTTCAAAACTTCAATACCTCTCTCTCAGTAATTAATAGAATCAGTAGATAAAAAAACAGCAAAGATACAGAAGAATTAAACAACACCATCACTAAATAGGGTCTAATTTACATTAATAAAACACTTCACCCAACAGCAACCGAATACCTATTATTTTCAAGCACACATGGGAAATTTACCAAGACATCATATCCTGGGTCATAAAATAAATCTTAACGTATTTAAAATAATTGAAACTATCCAAAGTATATTCTCTGACCATAATGGAATCACACTGGAAATCATTAACAGAAAGATAACAGGAAAATTTCCAAACTCTTAGCAGTGAAACAACACAGGTCTAAAACAAGGGCACATGTCTAGGGACATGCTTTAAAATTCTGTGACTAATCTTGTCACCTAGTGATACCAATTGGGTGTTTGTCTCCTGAGAGTGATAAAATCTTATACATGTGAAACTCAGTAACACAGACATGTGTTTACAGGATGCCAGGCATTTGTAGGGAAAGAGGAACTAATACTTGTTGAACACCTGCTATAGGTCATATTAATATTGATCATTAACTGCCCTATTTAATCTTCATAACCACCTCTCATAGTGTCTTTCAGGCAGGTAACTATGCTGAGGACATACCAGCTCAGGAATCTTGACAGAGTGTTGTATGTTTGAGGGAACGTTAAGGAATTCAGAGTGGCCTGAGTTAGTGAGCCCTGGTGAGAGGTGAGAATCAAGGAGGTGGGATAAGGGTGTATTGAGAAGGGACCCAAGTACCTTGGTAAGGAGTCCAAACCCTGGAAGGCAGAAAAAATTAACAAAGGGAATAAATAATATTTTTAGATTATTACTTTAGTAAGAACAGATTATGGGGGGGAAATTGAAGAAGAGGGGCTCAATTTGTACAGGAAGTAGAACCTCCAAGAAGGAAAGTACAGTATTTTTTCAAGGATAATAATATTAAAGGTGACATAATGATAAATAGGATGTTGCAATATTTAACAAGATAATGCACATTTAAATGAGTTGAGGAACATAGTACACCTAGCTAGCACACGTTTAATACACTAATTATACATGAAACATTTACTATTTCACTCATTTTACAAAGAGCATTTAGAATCATGCTAATTGCCTGGTGAACAAAACAAGGCTCAAAGTGGGGTTTACCAGATTACCAAAATTAGCAGAAGAACCACCCAAACTCTGCTCGCCTCAAACCAGAGTAAACAAACAACAACAACAACAACAACAAAACCCTGCTGCCTGTTAAGTCCATCTTACTCATAGTGTGACATTATAGGACAAAGTAGAATTACCCATAGGGTTTCTAAGGCTTGTAATCCTTATGGAAACAACTAGCCACATCTTTCTTCCGAGCCACTGGTAAATTCGAACCACAACCGAGTGTTTAATCATTGTATCACTAGGCTTCTTCCGCTCCGCCCAGTTCCGGGTTATACCACCTGCCCTGTATTGCCCAAGGACCAGGACCAAGCCCCTTCGCCCGCTCCTACCAGCTGAAACGCCAGGTGCGCCTCTTGGAAATCCAGTTGAAAGAAGTTGCCAAAGAAAGGAAGGCTTGGGGGCCCCGGTGGGTATTTTTTTGGGCGCCGCCTTTTCAGGAAATCAACAAAGAACAAAAAGGCTACGGCACCCAGCAGAAGAGTCCGGAAGTGGAACCCTGCCCAAAGGGCGGCCGCCAGGGAGCCCAAAGTCGCGAGCATAGCTCAGACGTCAGTCGGCTCAGGCTGTCAAAGCAGGCAGCAGTCGCTGCTCAGACTTCAAGCTCCCGGCACTGCCCGGTCCCCACCCCTTGGCGCCGGGTCTCCCAGCGAGCTGCGTCCCTCTCCCGCACCTCCCCTCGGCGTCCTGCCTTTCCCCACCCCCTATTCCGCCGCGCCCCGCCCTTCCCAGCCTAGATGCCATTTGAGGATGGAGCTGGGCAGTCGCTAAGCGCTGGATTCCAGGGACAACCTTCACCTAGTCCCGGGAGACGACCTTGGAAAAGAGCAGGCTATAAGCATTTTTCTTTTCTCACTAGTTAGAAAACTCATCTTTCTCTGAAACCTTGAGGGCTCTGGGGTTTATGATTGCAACCCATCTGAGAGAGAGCGCCACAGGCATTTGAGCTCCTTCTCAGCCAGCAGTTCACCCAATGATTGGAATCCTGCCTATTCTACAGTAATGGTAAGCAGCACCTAACATTGCTTGGGCTCTTAGTATATGCCAGGAAGCATGCCCGCCTCTTTACATAAATTACCTCATTGAAAAAATGATGAGGGAAACTCCCGTGTTAGCCTAGTTTTGTAGTGGAAGAACTGAGACTCAGAAAAGTTAAGTACTCAGTAAGTGGGGAATAAATGAATCCACCAATCTGTAACATTTCACAGGATTGTTACCAGATTAAATGAAGTCCTGTATTTGAAAAGTGTTTTGAAGATTAAAAAGCATGGTATCAAAGCTTCTAGCATTGACTTTAGGAGTTTATTGGTTAAAGGAATATGTACCAATAAAATGGGATGAAGTACTGATATGACCTATAACATGGATGAACCTTGATAACATTATGCTAAATGACAAGGCAGAAACAAAATTCCAAATATTATGATTCCATTGATATGAAGTGTTCAAAATAAATGAATCTGTAAATACAGAGATTAGATAAGTGATTGTGGGGGGATTAGAGTGGATGCTGGGGTGGTGTCGGGATAGGAGTGATTACTAAAGGTTATGGGGTATTTTCTAAAACTTTGTAAATACTCCCAATTTATTACCCAGAAATTCTATTCCTAAGCATAATTTTGAGTTTATGTGTATCAAGGTACGTGCTGAAGAACATTCACTGGGTGTTTTTTTGTATAGCCCCACAGTGAAATAAACCAAATTTCCATCAGCAGAGAATGAATGTCAGTTGTTGTAGAGTCACAATACACTATAAACTTATAAAAATAAATAAATGAGCTATGTGTAGTAACATGAATAAAGGTTATAAAAATAACAGTGAGTAAAAGAAATAAGGAACAAGGAATATCATTGCTGATGTCAGAAGGATCTTGCCTGAAAGCAAAGAATACCAGTAAGATGTTTATCTATGTTCTATTGACTGTGCGGGAGCTCTGGTAGCACAGTGGCTAAGGCACTTGACTGCTAACCAGAAGGCTGGCGGTTCAAACCCACCAGCCACTCCTTGGAAGGAAGATGGGGCAATCTACTTCCGTAGTGATACTGCCTCGGAAACCCAAGGAGGGGTTGCTATGAGTCAGGTCCGACTCAATTGCCGGTAACAACAACAACAACATTGACTGTGCAAAGGTATTCAACTGTGTGAATCATAACAAATTATGGATAATGTTGCACAGAATGGAAATTCCAGAACACTTAAATATGCTCATGAGGAACCTGTGCATAGACCAAGAGGCTGTTGCGCAAACAGAAAGGGTACACTGCATGGCTTAAAATCAGGAATGGTGTGTGTCAGTGTTACATCCTTTCACCATACTTAATCAATCTGTATGCTGAGCAAATAATACTAGAAGCTGGACTTTATGAAGAGAAACAACACCAGGATTGCAGGAAGGCTCACTAACAACCTGGGATATTCAGATGACACAACCTTGCTTGCTAAAAGTGAAGATGACTTGAAGATCAAACGCTACAGTCTTTGGTATGGATTACACCTTAACATAAAGAAAAGATAAATCCTCACAACTGGACCAATAAGCATCATCATGATAAATAGAGAAAAGATTAAGGTTGCCAAGGTTTCATTTCACTTGGATCCACAATGAAGACCAACGGAAGCAGCAGTTAAGAAATCAAATGTCATATTGCACTGGGCAAATCTGCTGCAAAAGACCTTTTTAAAGTATTAAGGAGTAAAGATGTCATTTTAAAGACTAAAGTGCACCTAACCTAAGCCATAGTATTTTCAATTGACTCATATGCATATGAAAGCTGGACAACGAATAAGGAAGACCAAAGAAGAGCTGATGCTTTTGAATTGTGGTGTTGGCGAAGAATATTGAAAATACCATGGGCTGCTAGAAGAATGAACAAATCTGTCCTGGAAGAAGTGCAGCCAGAATGCTCTTTGGAAGTGAGAATGGCCTGACTTGTCTCACCTATTTTGGTCATGTTGTAAGAAGGGACCATTCCCTGAAGAAGGATATCATGTTTGGTAAAGTAGAGGGTCAGCAAAAAAGGGGAAGACCCTCAGCAAGATGGATTGACAAAGTGGCTACAAAGATAGACTCAAGCATAGGGTCATGCTGGACTGGGCCATGTTACATTCTGTTGTACATAAGATCTCTATGAATTGGTGCCATCTTGATGGCACCTCACAACAACAGCAAAAGAAATAAAACGTAAAATAACACATTCTGTAGGATTCCCATACATTTTCATATTGATCTGTGCAATTACTTTATATGTTTTGGATTCAAGTGCTTTGTTCAGTTATACACAGTCCGTTTTTTGGTAAGTAGTTCATATATCCTTAGCAATAAATTTATCCCTTATTTGTTGGTTGCATAGTTCTTTGTGTTTGCCATTCATGTTTTCTGAACACTTCTCATTTTTATCTGCTTGATCTATCAGTTTTTTTAATTCACTTCTCACAACAACCTTGTGTTTGTATGTACCCACATAAATATAATTACTTGAAATAGTAAGAACTATATAATATTTTTTTATTAATCTTTTCATTATATATTTCTAAGACAAATTTAGATATTAGAGAAGGAAGTTCTCTGTGATATGATTTGCAAATACTATTACCAGTTTATTTTTTGCCTCTTTTATGTCAACTTCCACCATTTGGATGTCAGTTTATCATACTGTGGTGGCTTACATGTTGCTGTGAGACTGGATGCTATGCTATAGGTATTTCAAATACCAGTGGGGTCATCCATGGTGGACAGGTTTCAGTGGGGCTTCCAGACTAAGACAGACTGGGAAGAAGGATGGGGCCATCCACTTCTCAAAGAACTGGCCAGTGAAAACCTTATGAATACAAAGGCAACACTATCTGATACAGTACTGGAAAACTTTATGAATAGTCCTGAAATAGTGCTGGAAGATGAGCCCCTCAGGTGAGAAGGCACTCAAAATACAACTGAAGAAGAGCAGCCTCCTGAAAGTAGAGTGGATGGAGCCAAGCTTTTGACACATCCATTTGCTGATGGGTCATGACTCAAAATGGGAAGAAACAGCTGCAAACATCCATTAATAATCAGAACATGGAATGTAAGAAGGATGAATGTAGGAAAATTGGAATTCATCAAAAATGAATGCATAGCGACCAATATCCTAGGCATTAGTGAGCTGAAATGGACTGGTTTTGGCCATTTTGAATCAGACAACCACAATAATATCTACTATGCTGGGAATGACAAATTGAAGAGGAATGGTGTCACATCACAAAGAGTGTTTCAAGATCTATTCTGAAGTACAGTGCTGTCAGTGATAAGATAATATCTATACACGTACAAGGAAGATCAGTTAATTCTACAGTTATTCAAATTTATGTACCAACTGCTAAACCCAAAGATGAAGAAATTAAAAATTTATAAACCTCTATGGTCTGAAATACATCAAGCATGCAATCAAGATATATGATTATTGCTGGAGACTGGAATGCAAAAGTAGGAAATCAAGAATACTCACTTCCAAAGAGCATTCCAGCTGCACTTCTTCCAGAACAGATTTGTTCATTCTTCTAGCAGTCCATGGTATTTTCAATATTCTTCGCCAACACCACGATTCAAAGGCATCAGCTCTTCTTTGGTCTTCCATATTCGTTGTCCAGCTTTCATATGCATATGAGCCAATTGAAAATATTATGGCTTAGGTTAGGTGTACTTTAGTCTTCAAAATGACATCTTTGCTCCTTAATATTTTAAAGAGGTCTTTTGCAGCAGATTTGCCCAGTGCATTATGACCAGTAGTTGAAATATATGGCCTTGGTGATAAAAATAATACCAGCTATCATGTGATAAAATTTTGCAAGACCAATTACCTATTCATTGCAAATACTTTTTTTTTTCCCCAACAACATAAACAGCATCTATACATATGGACCTAGCCAGATGAAATACACAAAACTCAGATTGACTACATCTGTGGAAAGAGGCTATGGAGAAGCTCAATATCTTCAGCCAAAACAAGGTCCAGAGCTGACTATGGAATAGACCATCAATTGCTTATATACAAGTTCAAGTTGAAGCTGAAGAAAATCAAAACAAGTTCATAAAAGCCAAAATATAACCTTGATTATATCCCACTTGAATTTAGAGACAAGCTGAAGAACAGATTTGAACACCAATGACTAAAACCCAGATGATTTGTGGGATGACATCAAGAAAATTATACATGAAGAAAGCAGAAGGTCATTAAAAAGACAGGAAAGGAAAAGACTAAAATGGAGGTCAGAAGAGACTCTGAAACTTGTACTTGAATAGAATAGCTAAAGCAAATGGAAGAAATTATGAAATAAAAGGGCTGAATAGAAGATTGCAAAGAGCAGTTGAGAAGACAAAGCCAATTATTATAATGAAATGTGCAAAGACCTGGAGTTAGAAAATGAAAAGGGAAGAATATGCTCAGTATTTCTCAAGCTGAGAGAACTGAAGAAAAAAATGCATGTCTCAAGTCACGATATTGAAAGATTCTGTGGATAAAATATTGAATGATTCAGGAAGCATCAAAACAAGATGGAAGGAACACA